GAAAGAGAGATTCTCAGAAAGACCGAGGGAGACGACAAACCTCAGGGGAGGATTTGTGCGAGCACACTCTCAGGGAAGGGGGTGGGTGGGTGCAGGAGAAGGGAGCAGGTGTGGAGGTCGGGTGGTCTAAGGCATCTTCGATAATTCACAGTAGGAGCATCTTGTTTATCTAAAACAACTCGAATGAAGTAAATTCATTCATTGTGCCCAGTGGCCGCACTGGGCAGCTTTTCCTTCTCCAACTCGGCTCTATAAAATACTATCTCGCCATGGGAAAAGGATCCAGGATTGGATTCGCGATGCAATGCCTGAATGGCGCCCTGTACCTCTCTCCCCGCACCCTAAGGCCCTGGGACAGCAGCCCGCGACTTCCAAGCTCTTAATTTGCAGCTCTTCTCTCTGGAGAATCCAGAGGCATAAATAAAAGGCAGTCTCCAAGAATGCTCGTGGAAGTCAAGGGACAAATGCCTTCTCCCTGGCGACTGCCCGGAAGCTTCCAACAGGTTCCAGAGGTGCCTTTGGAAGTCATCTTCCCAGGTTGCACTCGCACGACCACTCTCCTCTCACGACTGAGAACTTTCATTTTTACTACGCGTAAAACACTCGGAACAACTTCTCCGAAAGTGAAAAGTAACGCGTGCCTTTCTCAGACCACGCCAAGGGCCGGAGGACAGGAACACCATCTCCACGCGTGTTGGGGCGAGGGAGTTGGCAATTACATCCGATTACCTCCGAAGGGAAAAGTGTGAACCGGCAAGTCGGCGACGCCAGGCAGACGTGCCTAGTGGAGTCCCAGGCTCATTTCAATACAATAAGCCACATTCCTACAATTACGCCGTCTTTCCAGAGATCCTCCGAGCGCCTCTGCAAACTCTGGCCGCCGCTGCCCGGGCCCCTTCCCTCACAAGCTTCCTCCCAGACAACCATCTCGGTGCCACTATTAGGGACATTAACTTGGACCCACCGGAGCCCCTGTTTTCAATTCTACTTAAAAGGCAAGAAAATTACTGCCGTTCATCACCGGAGCTGCAACTCCCTGCCGCTACCGCCGCCGCTGCCGCCGAGAGCATCATTACCATGACAACTAGAGCCGAAATACCCTGAATTACATCGCTGGAGCTGCTACTGCACAAACCCCGGCCGTCCTCTTTGTTAGAGGCTTTTCGCCTCTTCGAGTAGGGGGAGGAATCCCACGAACCCCAGAGACGCCCCCACCCCCGGGCCCACTACAGGGGGAAAGTTTCAGCAGCAGAACCGACGGGTCGCTCCTCTAGTAAAGCCAGTGCTGGGAGGCGGAGACCGGAGAGGTGGGGACAAAACCCCACAAAGTTGGCAGTTTCAGCAGCGACGCTTCCCAGCGCGCCAACTTTTTAGCAAGTCCCCTTATAAACCCGGCAAATCTCATACATACTTGAATGCTGTGGCGGTTCCGTCTTTAGAGTGAGTTTCAAGAGAGCTGCCCCGAAATCTGCTCTGGGGGGGATTCACAGCTGCTGTCCCGGAAGGGCTGCGGTGTACAAGCCCAGCGGCTCCCAGAGGCTGGGAGCGGCTGGCTGGGGATGCTGTGATCCCGACTCATGGGAGAGCGCGGCCGAGAGGTTCCGCGGGCGTCCTGGCTGGGGCCGCGACCAGGGGGGAGGATGCCGCCGCTGTTCCCACCTCCACGGCCACCGTCGCCGCTGTCAGCGTTGCAAAGTAAGCCCGGGAGGGGCGTCCGGCTGCGGCGCCGCGCTGCACCGGCGAGGGCGCAGGGCGAGAGGGGTGTGAGCGCGCAGAAGAGAGTGGAGTATGTGTGTGCGTGTGTATCTGTGTGTGCGAGTGAGGGAGCGGGTGTGAGTGTGTCTGTGTATAGGGAGCGGAGGAGGAGCAGGAGCTGGAAGGGTGGGGGGCGGGAGGCAGGAGACTCCGCTCTCCCGGCTGCGCGTTCGCTCGATCTCTCGGCACGTCATTTATGCCACAGGAGCCCTAGCGGCCTCTCCATAGAGTGCCTGGAATGCGAGACGTCAATGTGACGCCATGGGACGCTACGTCACCCTCCTCCTCCCTCCCCTGGCCCAGCCGGTTCCGTGTGTGCGAGGGAGGGTGTGTATATGCGTGAGCGCGCGCGCGCGTTCCCCGGCCATTCTCACCGCCGCACAATGGAAACTGCGCCGCTAGGTCGGCCCCGGCCTGGGGTGGGGTGGTGTCTCTCGGACCCGCGCTGCCTGCCCACCTCTTTGCAGCTGCGCTGCGCACCAGGGCGCGCGTCTGAATGGGGGCAGCCGCCTGCGGGCCGGGTCAGGCGGGACCGCCCAGCTGTCAGGCTCGGGTGGAGTAAAGTTGGAGGAGTGCTGCTGGCGTGCCTGCCAGGCTGCCCCGAGGCACCGAGCCCAGGCG